TAATTAAAATATAATATAAATAAATAAATAAAACAGAAAATAAAATAAATAATATATATTAATTAAAATTTTCTTTAATTAATAATAAAATAAAAAGTAATAATCACAAAAAAACAAAAAAACATAAAAAATTATAAAACATAAATGATTAAAGGCTACCTAGGGGTGGCATTAGCTCATGATAGGGATGCCATTAGCCACCCCCATCCAAATTTTAAAGGTCTATGAACTTTTTGGCTCCAATAACTATGCTAAATAGTATGGAAAAGAGAAAAATAAAACTTTAATTCTTTCCACCAATAAGAGGTATTGAAATTAAATACATATGAAAAATAAAATAATATTTTATTAAATGTATTAAATATTTTATTAATATAGTTAATTTAGAATCACTAAAACATAATAGATAAATATAATTTTCTTTACAGATTTTTTTATTAATCTGGATATCCAACTCGTTATGCGAGCTGACTAATTTCAAGACAATTGGGCAATCACCTGTTTTACGGACAGTTCGGAGTCACCTTATTTGAATCTCTGTGACCGTAAGAGATTTTTTATTCCCATTTGATTTTGAATCCGTGATTTCCAGACACTTTTGATCTTTAAAGAGTTCAAATCAATCAGATATCACCTTCATGGTTAATTTCCATTGGTATTTTGAGAATATATGGGTGTTATTTGAAAACTAAAAAGAAAGAAAATAAATATTAAAAAAAAAAACAAAAAAGGAAATGGAAAAGCTTGATGTTTACGTTAAAAGATATGAGGGGGTAGTTTAGGGAAATCAGCAATCAAAATTAGAAAGAGAGCGGGATTTCCGCAAAGAAAAAAGGGTGGGTGATTGTTCTGTGGGACCACATTGCCCTTCCCCCTTTATTTTACTTTCTAAAATCCTTTTAACTAATTCATCCTAATCACGGGTTGTCAAATACTCACTCCCGCCACCTGTTATGTAGTGTTGATGCTTTCATTTTACGGGTTTTAAATACTAGACTTAAGGTGGGAAGCGTATGTAGGTTTCTTAACCTTTGGACGTATATTAGGGTGAGACGTATCGAGATGAGATTTATCGGATCAATCCTCATATCAAGTTCATTCATGGGTGGATTTGAGACTAAAGGTGATCAAGTGTTCAGATCTCTTCTTATACTTCTTATCTTAACTCTCTTTTTTACACGATCCTTCACTTATATAGATATAGGGTCAGGTTCACATGAGACCAACCCGTTTTCATGAGATCTGTGAGACCATCTAAATAACACTAAACGTTCACAGCAAAATACGATAATTTAATAATTTAAATATATTAATAATTTAAATATATTTAAATTATTTAAATATATTAATAATTTAAATAAAGGCTCAAGTCGGGGATGGGCATATCTCTCCCCGTCTTGCCCCGTACCCATTTTATATATTAATAATTTAAATATAGAATACATATTTCTTATTATTTAGTTTAACCCTTTCCTCCAAGGCTCCAATCCTCCTGACTCTTGTTCGTGAGTCACCACTTTACCTTCCTAAATCCTTCAGATTGGTATAAAAAATCTCCGTTTTTCCATTGGGGATCCCCATCAGTGATCATAATCCCCAGTAGAGACGAAGACAAATACGGGGGATCGGGGACATGGACGGGTATTGGGATCCCCCCCCCCCCAAATTCCCATGTCTAGGGAGGGAGGTTCAATGGAAAACCGAAAAAAAACTGAGGAACACTCTAATAATCGTTTATCTGAACGGTACACATATGTACATACAAGTAATTAAAGCTGTTTTTTGGTTCTTATGCACATGTGCTTATTATAAATTGTTTGTATCCACATGTACATAACATTTAACTGAATAGTTACCACAGTGTTCTTCAGTTTTTCATTTTTTTTTACAGATTTTCCCTAAACCCCTCTCTCTATATATCTATTATATAATACAAGTTTTAGAGACATGGGAAATATTGTTGTGTAAGCAACTTACTTGCACGTCAAAACTTGGAATATATTTTAAAAAAATAATGGGAAAAATGTGATTAAATTTAGGTATACCAAACAGTGAAGTTGTCACTTTCTGACCTCTTTCTTGTTTTTTAGTTCTAATTCTCCTATAAAAAAAGGGGGGGCTTATCGTTGTTGGCCCGTAAAACGTGCGGGTGGTGGGTCAAATATTTCTTAATTTGGGCCTGGCCCATCTTCTTCCACCAGCCCATTATTTTATTTTTCACCAACCCCTTCCCCTTCCCATTTCATTTTTATTATACAATATACACTACAAATGTGGTCCTTGTTCGTTTCTTGAAAATAACACTATTTTTATTCCTCTAACTTTGAAGTTATAAGATGGTCATTAGATATGGCAAAAAAAAATCCGAAACTGATGGTGAAAACCAAAATTTTCGGATCGGGTTCGGAGACATCTTATCTGGGACGGGATGAGACGAAAATCGGTGACATATTCAGGGATTTTAACAGGGACGAGGACGGTACCGCCCCGACCCAGACAAATATGTGTATGTATGCTAATTTTTAATATATATATATATATATAGGGTTGGGTTCACGTAAGACTAAAGGTTTTTCGTGAGACCCGTAAGACCAATTTATGTTTATTGATCAACTTTATAAGTTAATGATCTAATGGTCTAAAGTTGTACGGTGACAATTTTGTAATTATTGAGAAGTCTCGTGGCAATTTTGTGATTATTAATATTCAGATTATAGATCTAATCCAAGGGTTGAGAATTGGTCTTACGGGTCTCACGAAAAACTCTTGGTCTCACATGATCTCAAGTCTCTCTCTCTATCTCTCTTTATATAATATAATATAATATAATATAATATAATATAATATAATATAATATAATATAATATAATATAATATAATATAATATAATATAATATAATATAAAGAAAATATTAACATTAAAATTTAAAAGACTTTTATCCACTTTAGCTCAACATTCCAAATAAAGTTCACGAAAAAGTTTAATTTATTTGTTTAATCATGATATTGTGATGTTAGATGTATGATATTTGATTAAATTTTTTAGAAGAAAATATTTAATTAAAATTAGTTACCTAGTATATCAATAACGTAATATAAATCGTATTTTAAAAACATTTGTGAATCAAAATGTATTATAGTGATTACATTCACAATATTTCACGTGTATCACAATGCATTTTCTTTGTTTTATGAAATGTATCATAGTGTGGATTTTCATTATTTTAATTGTTTTACAAAGGGTATCACATTGTGCATCTTGTATGTATATCTGAGTATCACATTGAATATCGTTTGTAGATATCACAGTGTGTATCTTGTGTTTACATCAGATTCATGATGATGTGGGTAGTGATGTTGTATCCAACTTAGTTTTATTTGCTGAAGCATTAACCATATACCACATTACTTGTAACATCAACATGGTAATCGGTTAATGCTTCAACCAGTTACCCGGGTATTTAAATGTTTAAAACTTTACATCTTGGGTAACAAAATAAAAGTTTTGAAAGTACATTACCAAAAATATGAATCAAGTTAAAGTACATTATTTTTTCATGCAATTTGCCCAGTTATATATGATGATAATACGGATAACATAAAAGAGTATCACACGATAAATCAATTAGTAATTTAATTTTACTGATGGAACATGATAAGAAAATGATTTCCATTAAAATTTAATAAGAGGTAAGTCCATTCAGACTGTTTATTTATTTTCTTCAGCACTTCTATTAACCTCTTATATCCGATTCAGTAAGAGATAAGTCCATTCAGACTGTTTGTTTATTTTCTTCAGCACTTCTATTAACCTCTTATATCTGATTCAGTAAGAGGTAAGTCCATTCACACGTTTGTTTTTTTCAATTTTTCAGAGACACTTATGTCTTATTGTCATCTTATCTGGTAAGAGGTGAACTAATCCATCATTTGTCTCTTAATCTTCTTCAAACACTTAGCAACGTTGTTTTTTCTCAATCGCTCCTCCCTCAGTCGATTAACATTAATCGATCATTTCTCTCAATCGTTTCTTACCAGATAGATCCTCACCTCTCATTAATTAAAATTCAGTCATTTATCAGTTTATAAAAAACAAATAGTTGTATAGATTTTATTTCAGACTTCAGTACCACCTCTTATCAATCAAAAGTGAAATAAGACTTCATACTTCGACATCTACTAAAAACAAACAACATCTTAGAGTTTTCTCTATGTTAAAGAACACTTAGGTGACATTTGTTTTTTAAGAGGTGCTGAAGTATGATTTCACTTCTGATTTATAAGAGGTGGATTGAAGTCTGAAATCTGAATCAGTAAGATTGTTTGTTTTTACATCTAAAGTCTGAAATTTGAATCAATCAAACTACTACAAAAACATAAAAGATAGATAGATTTTTACAAAAGTATAAAAGATAAATAATCTATGCTAACAAATCTCTTTCAGCCCTCAAAATATGAATAATTTGGTAGAGGGAAAATTAGGATTAAGAGGGTATTAAATAATACATTTACCACTTAAAATTTCAGAGGACATTTAGAGTTTTTAGGTTATTATTTTAAAAAATAAAACAAATGCTCTTAATACCCAAACGTCAAATTAAACTTCAGAAGTATTAAGAGGTAATTTTGAAAAAACAACATATAATAAAAATTGTGTAATAAATAACAATGGATAAAATAAAACAAGTTGCAATTTGTAGTCAATGGTCAAGGTGTGGTTTGTAGGAGTCCAACCCCAACTTCATTCCTCTTTAGCGGTCACAATTCAAAGTGCAGATTGAAATCCCAAACCAAACGAAGAAGAAGAAGAAGAAAACACAGACAATTACGTTCTGCACGAAGGTAAATCCACCATTTTCTTCCTCTATTTACCATGCTTTCATATGATTCTTTTATCATTTGATTTCGATTATGAATGGAGAATGATGATGATGACGAATTGGTGAATTAAAAGCTAATAAACAACTTTAATTTGATCGATTTCATGTGAATAGAGGTTGTAAGCAACAAATCTATGGAGATTTCGATTGTAAATGGAGAATGATGATGGTGAATAGATGAATTTGAAAGCTAATAAACAAGCTTAATGTGATTGATATCATGTGAATAGAGATTTTAAGCAACAAATCTATGGGGATTTCGATCATTGATTTCAGATTTACGAAGTTGATGGTAAATAGTCTGAGATTAACCTGTGGAATTGAGAAAACTGTGAAGAAATTGGGTTCGTTGAGGTGAAATATCATCGTGATCTTTTATCAGAAGGGTGCAGAACTTTAGCTCGAAACCAAAACCGAAACCCTAAGTTTTGTTTGGATAATTACTTACAGAATTTTACATGTATACATATATTATGGAAATAGTAGCTTTTAAATTCGGTTTTATGAGTTCAAAATATTGTTCACGTCAGCTATGGCATATTTTCTTTAGGTAAATTGCATTAAAAAGTAATCATACTTTAACTTGATTTATATTTTAAGTAATTTTTATTTTGGTTATTAAGATGTAAAGTTTTAAATAGTTAAGTATTCCGATAACCGGTTGAAGACTAATTTTATATTAAAAAATTCATGTCGTCAGCAAATAATACTGAGTTGGATACCACATCAACATGATAACCGATTAATGCTTCAACCAGTTACCAAATGTTTAAAACTTTACATCTTAGGTACCAAAATATAAGTTTTGAAAGTAAGTTACACAAAATAGGAATCAAGTTAAAGTACGTTACTTTTCATGCAATTTGTCTTTTTTAAAATAGGATTCTATTTTTAAAAAAAAATTACATTCAACTCCAAGAGCTACTATATTTTAGCAATCTTAACATTAGTTATATTATTAAAATATATTTAATAAAATATTATTTCTCCCTCCCAAATGTTTGTTTTCAGTATCTCTTATTGGTGGGAAAGTAATAAAATAATAATTTTTCTCTCTATTTAGTAGAGATTTCTCTAAATTTATAGACTTTACAACCTCTTTCACCTTTTCTCTATTTTAACATACAAAATAACGTAACTGTTAGAGCAATTTTTTGCTAAAATCCCTCTTTTCTTCATTTTATCTTAGCAGTTTAGAGATGTTCTAGTTGTTAGTCAATAAACTAATTATCTTAAGCTAGATAGCATGGCAATGTAGAATAAATGGCTGTTTGGTAATTGCTGAATGGTTTGGTGTAGAATGATTAAGTTGTCAGAATGATTAAGAGACTCTCATGATATAGTGCAAAATGAAATATAATTGTTTGGTAATTGTGTACAATGAAATTAGGGCTCTTAATGGTTAAAGGAGATCCATGATACAAAATCATTCATAAGGTTTTAGAACCATTAAGAGCAAATTTTTTTTTTGCCAAATAAGATTCACCTCTTAATCATTCAGCTGTTGCCTCTTAATGGAACTATTAAGAGGTGAACAAACAACCCCTAACTTATAAGGATATACTGAAAAATTAATTGAAAGAAAAAACTTCTCGACTTTGTTGAAATGTTACTTGAACTATTGTTTTGAAAAGCTAGTTATAGGTTACCTTATGACTAATCGAAATGGACTCGTGAAGATAAAGATGGTTTATGATAAAGAAGTCAAAAATTGAACCAATTTAAGATTAAAATACAAATACTGAATTTGCTGAATTTATGTTATTTGCAGTAACTAATATGCATCTCCCATGTAGTTTTTATGTTATTTTCATTGTATAAGAACCTTGATTTTTATATTTAATTTTGTATAAAATGTCATTTAATAAATAATATAATAAAGGTTGATAGTAAAAACAGTTCATAGGACCCACAAAAAAGATGTTTTTAAAAGTAAGTCTATGGTGGAATTTGAAGAAGATTCTTAATTTGATGAATTTACAATTATGTGATAAGAATAAAGTATAGGAAATGAATTCCTATAAGTCATTCCATTACAGTTAGAGGTCGTTTACTAAATGCTCACCCGGTAAGTATTTATTGGGTAATTTTCCTTTCCAGATGAACATGGTAAGAGGAAAAAATCTTATCTGGTACGAATGATGATAAGGATGGAGAGTCTTACCCGGTAAGCGAGGGTGACGACTCTTACTCGGATAAACGCTTACTAGGTAAATTGTTGCATAAGATACGTTTTGATGTACTACAATCTTACCCAATAAAATAAATTATAGTGTTGACTCTTAACGGTAAGCGCTTATCGGGTAAGCGCTTACCGAATAAGCATTTAGATAAACGACCCCTAGTTGTAATGGAATGACTTGTAGGATATATTCTTTATCACATAATTGCTAATTTTTGTATGTGTATATTCTAGGGGGGTTGTTATCACATTCCTCCTTCACATATTACCTTATTTCTCATCTCTTCTCACTCTCAATACCTTCTTGAAGTAGAAATAAAATATGGGTAGACCAAATATACTTCTATTTACTAACTTTTTTTTACATACATCAACATAGATTTATTTTTTTTACATTTTCAATATATAATTTAACTTTATTATGATATAAATAGGATACATACAGTAATACTCATAAAATATAAGGAAATTAACTGAAACAGTCAATCCCATCAATCAAATTCACTTTTTAGAGTGTCTTCCCAAAAAACCCCATCTTTTACGTATTTGTGTAAAATCTAATTTTAGAGTTTAGGGTTTAGTTTAGATTTAATACGTTGATTTTGACTAAAATGAAAATTCAATTGGAAAGAAAATACTAAAAAGTCCATAAAATACAGATGATGACTGTGCACACATTTCAAGAAAGATAAAAGCTTGTGAGCACCCACCACCCAACCTACCATTATTATATCAGAGTTCTTCATTTCTTAGAAATCACCAAAAAGAGAACATTACACAGGAGTTGTTTTCTGACTTTTGATCATGGAATAATGCTGTAATCAATCTCTCCCTTTCTTTCTTTTCAGAATCAAACACCTCCCCTTCGATTCTTCTCAACTCAACTTGCTAAAAGGTAAAACAAATCCCATCCCTTTTCCAATTTCTATTCCTGTCCATCTTTTATTTGCATTTCTATGCTTCAGTTGAATCATTAATGAATACCCATAAGTTTATTTTTATATTTAATTGCTACAATTTCGATTTCAATCAAATCTACCCATTCTAGCTTTATCTGAAATCTTTGCTAGGGACTGTTTGACAGTTGTTGAATGATTTGATGTAGAATGATTAAGTGGTCTGAATGATTAAGATGTTCTTATGATATAGTGCAAAATGAAATATAATTATTTGATAATTATTTACAATGAAATTATGACGCTAAATGGTTAAGGGAGACCTAAGATACAAAATCATTCAGATGGTTTTAGAACCATTAATAGACAAACTTTGTTTTTAGCAAACAAGTTTCACCTCTTAACATTTCAGATGTTGCCTTTTAATAAAACTATTAAGAGGTAAACAAATTACCCATTGTCTTTCTATTATAGGATCAGTACTCATTCAGTTGAGCATATTTCTTCAAAAGATTCCTAATAGACAATCAAAGTTCAAAATCTTTGATAAAAATTGAATTCTCTATTGTGGAGATCATTATCATTACATATATTTAATTAAATATTATTTCACTCTTCTAAACATTTTATTTCTAAGGTTATCTATTGGTCAAAATTATTCCTAATGTATTTTCTAACACCAATAGATAATTATAAAGTCAATAATATATATATATATATATATATATATATAAAGTCACTTCAAACTTAGTTCAAGGTAAGGTTCTTGTACAAAAACTCAAATGATATGAGATTCTTGTAAGAATTATCTCCTACACTAGTTCTTATAAGAACATACACTCCATTGAAGATGCCAAGTAACTATTATCATAAAGTTTTATGAAGCTCCTTAATCTCGTGGGTTGACAATGACGGGATAAAAAATAAGTCACTTCATTAGAGATACTCTTACCCCTGCCCTGAAAAACAGAGATTTTTTTCCCAGTTCGTGTGCACCTCGGCTAACTCATGGGTCCTGGGAAATAACCAAAGAAAATTCTCCGTGGTCTTGGAGGGACTCAAAACCGTTGACCTTCAAGGAGGAGTGCCAAAGTTCAAAGGGTTTAAATGCTCGAATTGTGTTTGGATTCTTTGGACTCAAATACGTATTTGAATCTTGCTATCCTTTATGGATACTTTTTGGTAACCATGGGTGTCCTAACTAGCTTACGCACGTAGGACCATGAAGTTAACAAACTGAAAAATCCAAACGGTGTATCAAGACCTAGTCTTTATTTGTCAGTTAAAAAACCGTCAAAGTTTTCGAGGCTTTCTTCCATACCATCCCTAATTGCACTCTTTGGTTTCATTTATCTTAAAGTAATCTATTTGGTAGAAATAGTGTAAACTGATTGCAATTTTGGCAGGAATTATCATGTCTTCCTTTGCGACTGCCGAAGTTTGCGACGCACATGCATCCCACCTAGCCGTTGGTGATCTCCGAGCCCTGGAGCCCGTGTTCAAGATTTACGGGCAATGTCGAGCTTTCTCTGGGCCCATAGTCACTCTCAAGGTGTTTGAGGACAACGTTTTGGTTCGGGAGTATCTCGAGACTAGGGGGGACGGTCGGGTCCTAGTCATTGATGGCGGTGGAAGCATGAGATGTGCACTCGTGGGCGGCAATCTTGGCCAGTTGGCTCTGAACAACGGGTGGGCAGGAATTGTCGTCAATGGGTGCATCAGAGACGTGGATGAGATCAACGATTGCGATATTGGGGTTCGAGCATTGGCTTCTCATCCTCAAAAGTCGTATAAAAGAGGTGTCGGTGAAAAGAACGTGCCGGTTCATATCGGAGGAACCATAATCCATGATGGTGAATGGTTGTATGCCGATAGCGATGGGATTCTTGTGTCGAAAACCGAGTTGTCGTTGTGAAAGTTTCCCTATCGATACATCCTTCAGAAAATGCCGAAGTGTTCAGTGTTTTTTTTCCTTCTCGTAGTCTTGTAACAAATATTTTGAGACGATGGATTCTTTGTATTACAGTCTCTGGTCATATAAGGTGGTAGTCATCTTTGCAGAATAATTGGAAAGTTTCGGGTTCGATTTCAAGTACCATCCACCCGGTCTTGGGAGATGGGACATACGATTTACGTCCCCATGATAAACATAGAACTGGTCGATGTTCCGGAAGGTTCTTTTTGTTGTTCGGAAAATTTATGAAAAATATCTTGTCTTTTGAAACCGTAGAAATCTGAATCAATTTATGTGCATTTTGGCTAATCTCAATAAGCCCGAAAGAGAGAAAATAGCTAACGGAAAATAATTCTTCCTGAGGTTATAAATCTTACAACCAACATCTGATACATGTCAACATTAACGAGGTGAACCAAGATGCACCAGAACAATTCTCTTGTAAAACGTAATTTTATGGGTAGACATGAGATTAAAAGTGATCACGGGTTCAGATGTCTTCTTACGCTTTTCACCATAACTTCTCTTTCTCACACGATTCTTTGCCTACACACACACACAAACATTAGACTATGGGGTTGTTTACCAAACACTTACCCGGTAAGTGCTTACCAGTAAAATTTAATACTATGATTTACTTACTAGGTAAGATTTTACTCCACCAAAATGGTATTATATGCAACAATTTACCCGGAAAGCTCTTACCATGGTAAGAGTCGTCGCCCTCACTTATCGGGTAATACTCTTGGTCCTTGTCTCGCTCTTACCAGGTAAGATTCTTGGTTCTTACAGTATTCATCCGTAAGGTAATGTGACTTGATGTTCACTTACTCGAGTAAGTGTTTACCAAGTTATATTACATTACCAGATGAATATGATAAGGACCAAAAATCTTACCTAGTAAGAACGAGGCAAAGACCGAGAGTCTTACCTGGTAAGTGAGTGTAATGACTCTTACTACAGTCAGCTCTTACCGGGTAAATTGTTGCATAAAAAGCCCTTTTTATTAACTAAAATCTTACCTAATAAGTAAATAATAATATCGAATTTTTTTGGTAGATGGTTACCTGATAAATTGAGATATTCAAATGCTTTGAACCCTTTCAACCAAGCCAAATAACCCGACCCGACCCGCTAGTCTACTGATCGTAGTGAAGGTTGAACGAAACAAAGGTGAAGGTGGAGGAGGAGAGCGAAAGCCGGCCATTCCGTGATGGATCATAAAAAAGGAACCACCGCCTCCGCCATCGTAGGCGGTTATAGCTTACTGGAAAGGATACCGGAAAGCATCCTCAATGAAATCTTCTCGAGATTAGAACCGGAGACACTGACGACGCTTTGCTCGGTAGCATGCGTTTCACGAACCCTTAACTCCTCCGTCAACAAACTTCTCTCCTCTTTCTCATCCGTAGATCTCTCGGTGAGTTATTTCTTCTACATTTACGATTTATTTCATTCTTCAATCGTGTTTTTGAAAATCCAAAGTATATGATATATAGTTCCATCACATTTTAAACCTAAAGGCCTAAAAGTTTGCAATCGGATCTGGATATTAGGCGTTTTCCGTCGATTCTCAGACATTTGATGGAATTATTAGAAGGTTCAGGAAGATCGAGAAGATCACCTTGGATTGCCTCCGTCTCAATGATTCTTCGATCAGAAGTTTTCTCGGACCAGATGTTGAGGAATTGATTTTGTTGAAATGCTCTTCACTCTCTTACAGACTTCTTTCTAGCATTGGAAGAACTTGTCCAAATTTAAGGTATGCATTTCTTCCATTCTAGTGGTTACTTTAATTGTTACTAATTTGAATACTGTAGTTCATAACTTGATGATTATAGTGTATTTGATGAAGAAATGGTTGAGCCTAAGAGACTCAATATATCTGGACATAAGCATTGTTCCATACTTGATTAGTTCTCTTTGCAAGGCTTATTGGCTGCTATAATTAGGAACAACCAAGTCTAGGTTACAAAATCCATATCTGGCCTGATGATAAATGATATTCTAAATCACACATGCCACTGGTTATAGGGGTGACAATTATGTACCAAACTAAACCAGCCAACATGTCTACCAACTGTACCAATTTAGTTGGTACCGACTACATTTGGTTGGCAGTACCGTACCAAGTACACATACTTGGTTGATACACGGTATTGGAAGTCACGAACCATTGTAGTACCGACTTATTTGATTGCTTGTTATTATTCTTATTATTTATGTATTGAATATTAAATGTTGTTAACTTTAACTGTTTTGTTTGAAAATTTGAACATTTTTAAGATTTATTCCTTGCAAATAAAACTTTTTAAACATCACATGTGTTACCTGCAAACCCAAAATGTCACTCAAAATTTGAACAAAATGACAATTTCCATATATGTAACATGAAGTTGTACAAAACCAGTACCAACATGTACCAACCGAAAATGGTTGGTACCAATTAAGTTGGTACTAAGTAGAGTTGGTTGGTACACAGAGAATTTTGCGTACCAATTATAATTGGTTGATACACGGTTTTGGGAAAGAAACTTGGTACTGTACCAACTACCAAGTCCACCCCTAACTGGTTTCATACAGGGGTGGACCCACTACGGTGCATACGTTGGCGGCCATCGCCTTGTTCCTCAGTCGTACCGGCTAGTGTAAAAAAGTCTTGGGGTGTCAAATGTGTTGCCGTATTATCTTGTTGGGCACAACCATATATTCCTTGACACTACAATAACAACACATTTTTCTCTTGGTAGAGTTGGTTTGTACGGTCTTTTCTCCCCTTTGGGGCATGGGTTCGAATTCTTATTTGTATCATTTTCTTAGTTTTTAGCTTTTATTTTCAGGTTTATTATGTTTCTGAAATTTTTTGAGATAAAAAACTCGAACATAGGATCTCATATACAAAAAAACAAGGAACTAACCAACAGACAAATGATGATTTTGTAAAAACTATCCATAGGCTTTTTATTTATAGTCAAATGGGGCCACCACTTGAAAATTTTTCTAGGTCCGACTCTGATTCTATAAATAGTATAACACTCGACCATGGGAACTTTTTATTTGTTGGATTGTCTCCATTCTCTTCTCAATGGCTCTTTTGAAAAGCAATCCGATGGAAGGATTCCATGTATTCTCACATCATTTATGTTCTATCTCAAAACAATAGAATCACAGTGTTTCTTTTTATTGTATTCAGAGTGCTTACGCTGGAGTTTTCTGGCTTTATTGACAAGTCTGCAGTATTCGATTTGAAACTTGAAGACTCACTTGGAAGTTGTCGGTTCTTGGAGGTAAATATGATTATTTATCTTTACTAATATCTATTTCAATCTCATGCCCTCGTAAACATACATCAGATTTGTGTTCCTTCGAAGCCCAATTGATTCTTTCACTTTACAGTCTCTTCGAATTAAAGTCCGTGGAGGAGAAATCAACGAATATGGCTTTATGTTGCTTGGTATCTACCATTTGCTGCCCCAAACTGTCAAGATTCTTAAGCTTCAGCCAGCTAGTGTATTGGATACTGTTATTTACCTCAGAACATTTAACTATACCAATCTTGGAATCCTGATTGCTCCCGCATCTTTCGGACAGACGTTGACACACCTATCGTTAGTCTTGGATTGCATCACTGATGTCCTTCTTCGCTCTATTGCACACTCTCTTCCCCTATTGGCTGAGCTTGATCTTAAAGACCGACCCACATCTGAACCATCTGATGACTTGTCTGACGTAGGGATTCAGTCACTAGTCGGTTGTCACCATCTAACTAGCCTCTCTCTTGTCCGAAGTCGCCAACATTTTGCCACCTCGTTCAAAAGAACGACTGATATGGGCATGTTTTTGCTTTCTGAAGGTTGCAAAGGGCTAGAATCTATCCGACTTGGTGGGTTTTCTAAAGTTAGCGATGCTGGATTCACTTCAATTTTGAATTCATGTTTCAACTTGAAAAAATTCGAAATTCAATACGCTTCCCTTTTGACAGACTTAGCATTCCAAGATATCAGTAAGGCTCCTAGGTCTCTTACAGACATAAAATTGGTGTCGTGTAGTTATATAACAAGTGAAGCAGTCCGTGAACTCGCTTCATGTAGTGATTTGGAGATTCTCAATTTACTCGGCTGCAGAAGTGTAGCAGATTCGTGTCTTACCAACGTTTCACGCCTTAAATTCTTGACAACCCTAAACTTAGGAGGCGCAGATGTTACCGATAATGGTATGTCCGTTTTAGGCAACGGGAATGCTCCCATTTCGACATTGTCTTTAAGAGGCTGCAAAAGGGTAACCGATAAAGGGATTGCTTTTTTGTTTAGAAATGAAGGAAAGATCAGAAAAAGTTTATCGTCTCTCGATCTTGGTCATATGCCGGGTATAACAGATGATGGCATTAGGACTGTTGTTGATGGGTCTTTAGGACTTGTAGATTTGTGCATTAGGAATTGTTTTCATGTCACGGATGCTTCCGTGGAGGCTTTGGGTTTAAAGGGTAGAAGATTTGAAAGTGAAAAAAGTAAAGTTTTAAGAAGGATTGATGTTTATAATTGTAGCGGGTTATCAATTGAATCTTTAAGATTGCTGAAAAAGCCTTTGTTTTGTGGTTTACAATGGATTGGAATTGGACGGACCAGATTGATTTGTGGAGATGTAGGGTTGGATGAGATTCAGAAGGAAAGAAAATGGGTGACCATTTGTAGGGATGGTTGTGAGATGGGATGTCATGATGGATGGCAATATCATAAGTTCGGACTCTAATTCGACGACTTTTTGCAAACTATGATGACCATCTTGTATTTTCGAAATTGTAGGGACGAAAAGTGTTACAATCGGCAGACTACAGGGGCCAGATTTGTAGTTTAGTCTAAAATGTATTAAAATGGAAGGAAAGAAAATGGGTGAGTATTTGTAGGGATGGTTTGCGAGATCATAAGTTTGGACTTTCAATCTGAGGGTTTTTTGCATGATGAACCGTTTAGTAGTTTGGGAATTGGAGGGATGAAAAGTGTTGTAACTGACAAACTACAGGGGCCAAATTTGTAGTTTACATAAAATGTATCAAAATGATGTAATGACTAACGAAGTTTGCCTTAGGTTTTATGTAGTGTAACAAATGGTTTATTTTTTTTAATTAGTGTAATAAAGTTTTAGTTTTTATTATTTATTTTTGTTTTATAGTTACTGGTAGATTTCGACCTTTGTAAATGTCAAATATTTAAATCCTCACGGAAGGTGAGGGTAGTATGTATGTTTTTAAAAATGCATATTACATGAAAAAGTAACGTATTTTAACTTGATTTTATTTTGGGTAACGTACTTTTAAAACTTTCATTTTGGTATCTAAGATGTAAAGTGTTAAACATTTAAGTATCTGAGTAAACGGTTGAAGACTAATTTTAGATTAAAAAATATTCGTGTCACTAACCATGTCAACAAATAATACTGAGTTTGATACCATATCACTCATCATTTCAGTATGATAACCGGTTAATGTTTCAACCGATTACCTGGGTACTTAAATGTTTAAAATTTTTACATATTAAGTACCAAAATGAAAGTTTTGAAAGTACATTATTGTAACCTTTCTGCAAATATTTCGTAAGCCTGTCAAAAGGTTATTGTTCTAACAAATATACGGTTAATGTATAAAAGTGAAAACTGCATGTCTGCTTGAAATCACAAATTAAAATGCTAAATGAACCTCTGGAAATCATGAGTTTTGGATTGTGGGTGTCATATTCACCGCCACAGTATTGAAATTATAGACGACCGAACAAGTAATAAATATAACCAAAATAACAAAAATCTATACCATATATTATATTCCTTAAGTGATACATATGTGTAAATATTACCCTTTAAATAGCCAAATGATATTATTAATCTTGATGATCAAGGGTAGAATGGGACATTGAAAACTTATTTTCCAAATGGACGTTTATTTTGAGACAAGTAATCACTTAGAATAAGATCGTTCTCCTAGCATTCTTTGAAAAACGGAACCATGAATCATCAAATCGGCCAAAAGATAAAAACCTAAAATACAATAATTGGACCCAAAAATTTCAGGGTCGTGTTCCATATATCTCACAATGAAACACCGTCATGCAAGCAAGGCCTGTTAGCCCATAAGCAAGATGATACAGCAGCACTTCCTATGTTTTCCGACCAATGTGACGGTGGTCAATCAACGTTTGGGACTAACACTTTTGATGTATGATTCAAGCAACTTTCATATGAAAGTTTGTTCTCCGAGTAGGCTTGTCATAACCAGATCGTTGATCGTGCTGCAAACACGAAGATGCAATGTCAAGATTGCCACCAATTCATATAGATAAAAAGAAAAAATTCTAATAACTTATAACTAGCATCCGGATTTCGATGATTTGCGCATAATTAAAGCATCTGTAAGTGGGAGTTTTCACGGAATCAACCTCTTACCCTCTTGAACCAAAAATTGTTTGCCTTTTTCAAATTGAGGATATTTATTTTGGGACAAATAAAATACTGTTATAAGACATACTGATGAGGACCACCACTGTTTGGTTGGTTTGTAATAGCATCTCCAATGGAGGTGAACCCACTTTTTGTATTTCTTTTTTCTTGCCAACTCATTTCCAACTCATCAAATTAAGAATCCATTTTGTGAGTTCCATGTATAGTATAAGTTAAATAAATACATACACATTAATTACTATACTGGATATAGAAGTCAATAAAAATATATAAAAAAACTAGCAAATTGTCACTTACACCAACTTCAAGGTAAGAACCAAGGTTCTTGTACAATAACTCAACAGGGATGAGGTTCTTATAAGAACTCTCTACAATGTTAGTTCTTGTCAAAATCAGATCAAATTATACATTGAAAATGTAAAAAAAAAAGTTTTGATGTTCATGTATATGAGAAAGAAATTAGCATGTAGATGTGCATTTCACAATATATATATAGGTGTGTATTTTTTTTGAAGTATATAATATTTATATACGGCAAATAGAACAAATAAACTCAACACACCCTCCTCACATTTGGTGAGCTTTGAACCCCTAACTTTCTAGGAGACCAAAAACTCGCATACCGTAAGGCCAAAGGTGTGTATTTTGCCTACCCCTATAAAGAATTCTGCTACATTGATAGCTCCTGCCCTAATTTGTCTCGTCACATCAAATCATAATAATTTCACTTACTGAAAACAATCAAGTACTTCAAAGTGGAACAAAGCAAAAATGTATGTACCTTGAGCAGTTGGTGAACATGCCCACATAACTAATGAATAGTGTGTCATTATATTCCTACAATAAAAGTAGATTAGCAGTGTCAAATATAATATCTCAAAACTAGCCAAAAGAGTCAATAGCCTAACGGCATTCCGGGTTACCACCAGATCCCAACCTTTTTGAAGGTCGAGGGTTCAAGCGTGAGGAATGCGTGTGAGTTTTGCCGTGTATAAATATCATATACTTCAAAAAACAATCTCAAAGCTGACAGTTGCCCAAAAAAAAGCGAATTGAAAGAAGTCAAAATTTCCGAACAAACAACAAATTCCGAAACAAAAGAATAATACTTGATACCTACTAGAAAGATAATTTAAAACTTTTTCCGTTCGGTTTGCAGGATTTGGAATTGAATTCCATGCCAATCCTATGTTTTGGTTTAACGGAAAGTCTGGAATTGAAATCCAACAAACATTGGATTTAGAAATCCCACGGGTATGGTTTCTATTTCAAGGGATTTCATAGGATTTGTTTGTAAAAATGTTCTAAAATATGTTAAAAACATTTGTTTTATAATCATCAATTAATAAAAGATAATGTAATTATTTTTTATAATAATTCACAATTTGTTTTTTTGTAAAATATCTATAAACAATGGAATTCAATTCCATTCCAAATCCTACAAACCAAACCCACTAAAATTTTTGAATCTTTCAACCCCCAATCAGTGGAGACATGGAGGAGAGGTAAAAGAGAGATTTTCGAGCCTGAACATACAAGCAAAATTCCAAATTCTTCCACGAAATCCAAATCCCTCAAAGACATATCGTCAAACCAAAAGGGCCCTTAGTGCATTCTTTTGACTGCAAATGCAGAATCCTATTGATAAGTTGGCAGAGTTGGAAAAAAGTTGCATCTTTCCACAAGCTGACTTGGATACCCACGGTTACCCAAGAAAAAGAATTGAAAAAGTGCATCTTTCTGAACAAGCAACAAATGCTGAACAAAATAGAATAATACCCACTACAAAAATAATTCAAAACCTTTAATGGCTCATGTGCCCCATCCAAACAAGGTTTCACAATTAGAAGGATACCTCTTTGCATAGCATGAAGAAAGTGATGAAGCACTCAGATTCTGCTATTAAGCATCTTGATAGCACTATGTATTCCCATCAAGTGCACAGCCACTACAATAATACATTAAACGATCAAAGTTTTCACATACCGCTGAAAACAGAGATTATCGATGATAAAGTCATATTTAGGGAATTTCATACTATAGGTGACGGAATCATAGGCCTCACATTGAGTGGCAGCTGAACCTCCATCGGATGGTTTCAGATGTGCAACATGGTCACTGAGACCCTTTCTGCTTCTACCATTGAGCAATATAAGAACATATTCATAAACATAAACTAAATCTTTCTAGAGAGAAAAGAATACCAAAATAAGCATTTTAGAGCAAACCCTTATAGTGTAGCTTGAGTGTACAAAAATAAGCTGTGGAATCCCATCAATAACATGCAACTCTTCAGTAGTCATCATCATCCCATATCAGAAAGGAAAAAAAAAAAAGATCAAGTATCAGCAAAGTTCTAGAGTGATATGCAAAAAGTGTTGGTTTTTTTCTTTTTCAAACGCTATTGAACAACAAGCTCGATACTTAACAATCAAAGGACCCAAGCATTTGTATCAATTACACGGATCAAGATATACATTTTATAGAATGCAATGACTTCCCTATACACGTACAGAACGGCTTTACATTATCCAAAAATCAGGATGCGGTGAGGTCGGGAATCCATTGTTTTTAGCTATTATAGACGCGCACTCACACACAAAAATTAAGTTGGTAAAAAAAAATACTAAGGGGGTGTTTGGTTAAAGGTATTAAGCAGTAATCAGAAGGAATGAAAATAGAAGAAACTGTTTAGTTTTATATAATATAATGAGTCTATTCCCCTAGAAGCCCAAAGTTTCAATTCTGGTTAAACCGGGGAAAATGAAAAATTAATTCCCTGTCATTTTCATTTTCATTCCCCAGCCCAACCAAACAGCCACTAAATTGACTTGATAATCCAAGTCGGCATATACTTATATGAACTGAAAACTGCATTTATATGAAAAGGTTTAAAAGAGATATTTAGCTGTTATCAAACACATTACAAAGCATTGCTCTAAATTGGAAGGGGTACATACCACTCTCGTAAATAGTTACAGGGAGGTCCTTCTGTGCATGATTGATTGAAGGATTCAAAAGAACATATGAAGGGCTTTAATTGATATCCATCAACTGTTGCAAAATAATCCACCACCATGGTCTTTACACATAAACTAAGTGAATACATACATACATACACATATATAGGAGGCTAACCATTTGAGAACCTACAAGATTGCAAGAAGCCTGAGAACCGGTGCATCATATGTTATTTCATATGATTTTTTACATCTAAGGCTAAAATTTAGGGTATTGACTAACATATATATGTTTCACAACACGAAACTTTTTGGCGTGCTCGTGAAACAAAAAAAAAAAATACAGGTTTCACGTTATGAACCAGATACATATGAAACAAACTCATTGCAAAATGAATATATGTTAATCAATGAATTATATACTAGCCTTAGATGGAAAAATTCATGCGAAACAATACTTAAAAATAAAAGTTCTACGGTTATCACAATGTATATATATGTGTGTGTGTGTGTAGATAGATATTCAAATGAAATTTTCACCATTTGAAGTTTTCACATAAGGGACATTACTACTCACAGCTTTGTGTATGTGCATATCCAATTCTTCTGCATTACCTCCAGTGGAATACCATCCAAGTATGTAAAAATTGGGAAAACCAAAACCAGCGTGATAACAGAAACCCTAGAGATCATAAATTATATAATTGAATCAATTGAATGTGCAAGCAAAATCATAAATTACGATTGCATGAAAGTTTTTTTGCAGATAAACATACATATATCATAGATCGAAGGTTATATACTGACAGAGCTCTTGCTTCTTTTCGAGGAAGGAACGATCGAGTGAATGAGTTGAAGGATCATAGAGAAGCTCGAAACTATTGAAGATCTCGACGGTACGTCCTCGTTGAACTCTGATTACCAACCAAAAACCCTAGGTGAAGAAGAAGTGGCGGTGACGTCGGCAATGGCAATGGCAATGGCGTTGGTGGTTGGGGCTTGAGCTTGGGACTTGACACGTGTGTAGTGATCCGATATGTTGACAATAACCAGTGGATGAAGCTTGAGTGTTAATCCACTGCTCGATGTTGAAGAAGAAGATGAAGATGAAGATGATGCCATTTGAATCCTTCTTCGAGAATTTTGAATTCTTTGATTTTGATCGAGATTTCGAGGGATTTGTTTTTCAAGTGCTTTCTAGAGTCCCGGCTAAAGATTAATGTTTAGTCCTTTTGGTTTGGTGAAATTGCTATTTTAGTCCTTATAGTTTAAAAATTATATGATTTGTACTTCCTTATTATATTTGTCTCTCTAACTAACTTTGGAGTTGTTTAGCAGTTGTTGAATAGTTTAGTACATAATGATTACATGATCAAAATTACTAAGAGACTCTTATAATATAGTGCAAAATAAAATATAATTATTCGGTAATTATTCAGAATAAAATTAGGATGCTGAATGGTTAAAAGAGACCCAATATACAAAATCATTAAGAGGGTTTTTGAACCATTAAAAGGTAAACAAACAATCCCAAAAGATTATGTTAAATAAAAGACATTGTAATCGTTTAATGTTTTCATTTAATTTTAAACTCACGAAAACCATAAGTCAACCATTTTTAAAATCAAATCCATCTAGTTGCAGATTTCGTCTTTGTTGATTCGTTCAAAAACCTTGAGGATCTCCTCCTTATAGCTATAGAGTCCAAACACTGTTAGATGTCATAGCTTCTACATCTGCAGTGTCTAAAAACCGCTAGATGTTGTAGCTTCTACATCTTTAACGTCCAAAAACTGTTGGGTATCGTAGCTTCTACATTCGCATCTCTGGATGGAGCGTTGGAGAACAAGATACGTAGCTCTGCATGTGCTTAATTCAATGAGTTTTCACCACCAGATAACAGGAGGGAGAGGGATTTCAACACCAATTAAGATTTTATTGTATTTACGATTATATATTTTATCTTATTCATATTATATAATATGGCAAATTGCATTAAAAAATAATATACTTTGACTTGATTCCTATTTTGGATAATGTACTTTGACTTGATTCCTATTTTAGATAACGTACGGTCAAAACTTCCATTTTGGCACTTAAGATGTAAAGTTTTAAACAATTAAGTACCCGGGTAACTGGTTAAAGTATTAACCGCTTACCATGTTGATTTGACGAGTGACATGGTATCCGGTTAATGTTTCAGCAAATAGTACTGAATTGGATACCAGATCACTCGCCACATAAACATGGTAACCAGTTAATGCTTCAACCGGTTACCCGGGTACTTAAATATTTAAAACTTTATATCTTGGATACTAAAATAAAAGTTTTGAAAGTACGTTGTCCAAAATAAGAGATTAAAATACGTTACTTTTTCATACAATTTGGGCTTTAATTTGGTCATAAGATATAAAGTATCTTGTATCCCCAAAGAAATAGCTCATCTCCATTGATTGGATTTGGTGCATACAACCTTGGAAACTAATCTCTTGTTAAACAAATAATCCCAAGATCAAAAGCATCACCTCACAAAAACACACACACACACACACACATATTCTTGCTTCTTCATGCTTTAAATTGACATCTATCTTTGCAGCAATTGATGGTCTGAAACAAGAATAAACCAATAAAACAAATACAGAACAATTAGTAAATTAACTGACTCGTAGAAGTACAAACGAGAATACTTTCATTTTACGAAAAGACAAGAACACCCTTATCACATGTGATGATACACCCGGGGGGGTGGGGGTGTAGACGACTTAGCATGTGGCCTAGGTTGTACCAAAGGTCGCCCTTGTTAGTATCACATATGAATAACTACAGTCAAACAGTCTTGCTGACGTTTCGTAAATTGAAGATGTTATCGTTTGAACCCTTCCCTAACTAACTAACTGTACAATCATTATAGAATGAATACGCAAAAGTAGAACTTGAGAACAAGAAAGGTCGTGCTGAAAATTTGAATTTTGAAAGACGAGTTAGAAATAAACGACAGAAAAACAAACAGGTAACGAAACAAAGAAAACTAGAGAACATATAAACGGAAACGAGAAACTAAATACTCTGATAAAAGAAAAGATTGTGTTCACATCTATATCATGGCATGATCAGCTTAAGAGGTTAATGCATATGTGAATAAAGGAACCAGGTGGTGAAAAAGAGGGCTAAAATTACATTTCTAACCTCTATTTTTCTTCCAATCGTCGTAGCACAGACTCCGCGAAACATTGCTGCCTGCGCAACATTGCAAAGGACAAATTTTAGAGCTCACAAGAGAAGAAAAATTGATCAAACTTTGGTTCTTCATGTAATATGGTAACCTAAAGTATAGCTGTTATACTAATAGAGGGAGGTTTAAAAGAAAACCCCCAAAAAAAATGAAAAGTCGAGGAACACTCTAGTAACCATTCATTTGGACGGGTATGTACATATGCATACAAGTAATTGAAGTTGTTTCTTGGTTTTTATGCACATATGCATACCAAACAAGAAGTTATTTGTATGCACATGTGCATACCGTCCAGATTAACGGTTACCAGGGTGTTCCTCAGTTTTTCATTCTTTTTGCGGTTTTCCACTAAACCTCACCCTATATCAATAACTTTATAAAGAGAGTTGAAAATATGCTTATAATATATGCCTAGAATGCAACCACCCTTCTTTGTATACCTAATACTCCCTCCGTCCCAAAATAAATGCCCACATTTCTATTTTATTTTGTTTCAACAACTATTCAATTTCAAAAGTAAGTGCATACTTTCCCAATTCTACCCTTAATTATTAGATGGATCAATTCAGTACTCCCTATATTTGCTAAGGGTAAAATTGTCATTCAGTTAATTAAAAATGTAATAGTTACATATTTCTAATATTGTGTCTTTTTCATCATGGACATTTATTTTGGGACGGAGGGAGTAGAATAGAGTAAACAAAACATGCATCTTCCACAGGTTTAATATTCAAGCACCATTTGCATGGTTCGTCACACTTTTCACAAGCCCGGTGTCTTCACGGAAACAACAGTTCTACTATTTGGGTAGATGTTAGGTCGCACATCATGCCCTTCCCGGACCCCCTTCAAGGACCGCTCCTTCACGTGGGATATACCGGGTTCGTTTGGTTTGGTTTTATGGACGATGGCTTTCGACTCCATTATTTAAGTACAAAATTAAATGGTGCCAATTATGTTTTTCCACACAATAGTAACTAACATAGACAAATTTGCCAGGCTTCCTTAATATAACAAGCTACTTTACAGCAAGAACACCGTATGAGAAGCCATAAGACTTCCTTAGCAGACACAAAGTAATTACGTTTAGAATAATGACTCCACACACTTATGACATCCCTCCTTAATGAAAAACAAAGTTCCCAGTTTTACATACAAAAGAATGTTGCCGATGGTTATATTTATATATATATATAGAGAGAGAGGGGGGGGCAAGGGAAAACCCCCCTAAAAAATGAAAAACCGAGGAACACCCTAATAACCATTCAGACGGTATGCACATGTGCATACAAGTAATTGAAGTTGTTTCTTGGTTTTTATGCACGTCTTACAAATTACTTGTATGCACATGTGCATACCGTCCAAATGAATGGTTACCGTAGTGTTCCTCAGTTTTTCATTTTTTCGAGGTTTTCAATTTTTTAAAGAACACCATGGTAACCGTTCATCTAGATGATATGCACATGTGCATACAAATAATTCCTAAGCAAATTGTCCGGTATGCACATGCAAATGAACCGTTATTAGGGCGTTCGGTTTTTCATTTTTTTTGGGGGTTTTCCCCTAAMCCTCTCTCTCTCTCTCTCTCTCTCTCTCTCTCTCTCTCTMTATATATATATATATATATATATTAGGTTGTACATTAAAAATATCATCAACACGGTTAAAAACTTAAAAGATCACAGAAGTTCAACTTACTTGCTTTCCCTGTGTTTTGGGCTAGGGCGCGAGTATTTCAAGTACCCATCCCAAGGAACCATCTTAAGTCCTGCACGAACAGATATGATTCCCCTGACCCTGCAACGGAGCAAAATGTAGAAGAAAAAAAGGGATCCAATCAAAATAACTTCAGATACTAGAGACATTTATAGTATTGTTTCCGTGTATTCTGAGTCAAGAGAAATCAAACCTCTCTGCAAACTCAATAGGTGTTTCTCCGGGCTTCATATTTTGGGGTTCAAGGTACCAAACATCACAAACCACAGCCCATGATGTCATTAGCTGCAATAAGTGGGTTGTGAAGGATTGCCTACAAAATGGGCATGTATTAGAACTAGTTATGCCTTATATAATGTCGGCAAATCTGTTTACAAGTGCAAGTTAAAGAAAGTAACTAATAAATGTAAGAAAGGTTTACCAGGTACCCTTTTTTTTAATGTAAGACCAATTTTAAATTTCTCAACTGATGTAGATCTAGGTTTGTGTTTATAACTATAAGAGTGCGTTTGGTACAGAACAGAACAGGAATCACTGTTCCATGTTTGGCAGGACTTCTGTGTGGAACAAAGTGGAACAGGCGTGTTCGACCCCCCACCTTGCCTGACCAAAGAATAAGATAAAAAGCAGAGTTCCCGCCTACGGCTCCTTTGGCCGTTATATGAAGTTCAATTGTATCGTATGTTAGTTAGAGAGGTTGGCGAACTACTACGATCTATAGTAGATTCATGAATGAAATCATAATTAACCAAGACGATTTAAAGAATAATTGCGGCCTAGTCAACAAGCTTCTCAACTTCCTTTCATCCCTCGTATATACAGTTGTCCAACTACTTTCTTCCTCCGACTTCTTTAGCCACTTCCAGCTTCCCCACTTTCGCATGTGTCTCGGTTCTTGAGCATGTTGACGAATTAGGCGGCAGTTGAAAGAGCTACTCAAAAGCTTGACGAAGAAGCAAAGTAACAAAAACACGAATGATATGCTATATTATATTCTAATAATTATATATATTTTTAAATGCAGGCAACAATTCTGGTGGCTTCGGAATACCTTCGTAAGCCATCTAAAGGAATGAAGAACACTGAAAGGTGGAATATGCCTATATTTTACCAATATAACCTCAAAATAAAACCTAATTTTCTTCCAAAACATCAAATAAGTCATCCTCTTTACATTTTATTCATTCTTTAAATTTTACTCATCGTATTTTATAAAACCTAATCTCAATGCCAGCTCAAAGCATATTATAAGTTGCAGGGAACTGAAACTACTGAATTACAAATAGCGAGTCCTCATCTAAAGAACCTGTAGCACAATTCACTGCAAGAAAGGAAAAATGGAAGTAATTCAAATTTGGAAGGAAATTTCTTACTTCCTGCTATTCCAAAAGGCATCAACAAAGATTTTGTTGTATTTGATTGCAATTGGGCAAACAGTGGAGCCGAGTTCAAATGCACCCTAAAAGACAGATTACCAACAAATCAATATAACTATGCAGTAAAAAGTATTTTATCAGAACAGAGAGAACTATCCACTTCTTTTCTTTGAACACAAATTATGGCCCCTTTGACAAAATAATGACACATGCTTTTCTATTTGGACCAAGTTTTGACCCAACTTTCTAAACTAATTATTAATGATAGCAGTAGAACACATCCTTGAAATCATTGAATGAATGATTATTTGCTAAAAAAAAAAATCAAGGGTGCGTTTCGTATCCAGACAGGATAGAACAAGACAAGACAGGATAGAACAGTCGTTCAGCGTTTGGTAAGACATACTGGACAGAACAGATAAAATGACCAATTTACCCCTAATGAGTTGTTTATATATTTTGATTAATTTATGTAACTTATTAAATTATAACAAAATATATTATTAGAAAGTTCTTGTCAAGACCATTAAAAATGACACCAAAATAAAAAGTTTATGTAATTTTCAATTTTTATATTCTATATCGTTCCTATATTATGTTTTATTATTAATATTTAATAAATTACAAAATTAATCAAAGTATAGAAACCGTATAAAAATAATATTGTGAGAACAGTAAAGTGAAAGTTTAAAGAGCATAAAATACAATATATAAAATTTAAAGAATGAACAAAATGTAAAACGAGATGTGTATTTGTTGTTTTAGAAGAGAACCAGATTTTATTTTGAGGTTATATTAGTAAAATATTGATTTGTTCCACCTTGTTTCATGGGGTGGGGGTGAAACACGCCTGTTCCACTCTGTTCGTGTTTATTCCACATAAAAGTCTTGCCAAACGTGGAACAGTAATCCCTATTTCGTTAGTCTTGTCCAATGTACCAAACGCACCCTTGTTATTAACAATGGCTATAAAGATGCCAAGAACAATTTGTTATAATATGCTTATGCATTCTGATGGATCAACACTCACCCTAAACATAATGGCAGACAATAACAAGGGTGACACTTGCATATCCAACTAATTCAACATGGATTAACATATTTTACCTTTTTGAACATAACGGTGTAATGATTATTTACACAAGTTCCTTCAGGAAATATAAGAAGAGGATTGTTGTCAGCTCCTTCAACATGTTCTCTTAACCTGAATAGCAAGTCCATATCTCAACACTCATAAAGCTAATAAATAAAATAATAGGGACAAAGAATGCATACTTTCTTGCTACAATTTCACGATCTTTTGCTTCCGAGCGATTGAACCATATACACCCCACACTTTCCAAAATAGTGCTTTGCAGAAGTCCTAAATGAAAAAATTAGCATTAATATCATGTTATTCGTATGTTCTGTTTTCCTTTTCCCCTAGTCGTTTTCTCATGTCTCCATTTAGCTTTTCAATATAAGAATTCCAAAGTTCCTCAGAATCATGGGCCAAACAGGTTTTTGCATAATTCAGAGCCTCTTTTACATTTGCACTTAAATCATACTTCAATATATTGAGAGATGCAAATCAAACATGTGCACGTACCAACCCATCCAGGGTGTTTCTGCATGATAACAGCAAATGCCGTCATCTGTTCTAGAACGATGAAATCAATCATTGATGTATGATTAGCCACAAACACCTGTTCATCCAACAATCAAATACTTAGATAAAATCGTCAAATGTCAGAACTGAAATAAAACAATTTTATCAGAGAAAAGGCTTATACATTAGTACATTACAACTAAATGCAAAATAACCTGTATGCATTTACCTGTTTAGGCCTTGCACATGGCCGAGGGCCATGATACTTGACAACCCCTGTCCATGATGCAACAAAGAAGCTGCAAATTAACTCCACCAGAGCCCTCTGAAGGCAGACAGAAAACCCCCCAAAAATATTAGTCAGAATGGACCTAGTGAGCTCCAATGCATCAATCAAACTAAATATGTATCCGTTTTATGTAATGGGGAAGAACTGCAACCCACTCCATATAAAAAAAGGCCTTGATTGCTCTTATTACAGTAATTTCCTAATGGTGGCACAGCAGCTTGCTTATGCCCATGACCTGTCTGACATCCTCTGCTTCAAAAATAAATCGGGTTACCCCTACAGGCAAAGTAGTATTTTCTTGCTGTTGGTTTGATATGAAATCTTGGTAGTCCAAGTTTATAATTATGCTCAGATAGCCGATGATCCCTAAGACTAAGAGGGTATGTGAAGAGAAGGTGATCACTGGTTTTCCCCATGTTTGGAAGGCAAGGGCGAAAGTGCTTATCAAGTTATCGTGCAGTTTGGCTGTCTGAAGAATGGTGGGGGACCCAAGAGTTTTTTGCCAAGCGGATGCACTTCTAAGGTGGATCAAAGACCCGGAAAGTCGTTCAATGTATTTCTAGCCAAATTCCACCTTCTCGAGAGAATCTTTAAATTTTTGGTTGATTTTGAGGGATTTTTTAAGTTTTTTGGTTCATGTTCCTTGTAATTTCTAATATCCTGGAGCACCCCTTAAAGTTTAGCATGTTTATCATTTTTAGTCTCACTCACCAAGTAGCATTTTTCTATAATATTTGCCTTATCAACAAAAAGAGTTTGGCATATCAATAAGAGTACAACAAATAGATAAACAATGGGTGCAGGTGTTTGGCCAAAACTGAATCACACCATCAAGATTTATAGAACCGTCTATCGCCAGAACTAAGAGGTTCCTCTTCTAACAATACGTTAGCATGGATGTAAAAATATTTCAGGAAGGCAGGCATACCTCTAACCTTTTCCTCAACTTATCATGCCCTTTTAATAGCAAATGCACAGGAATATAACACGATAGGAATATAATCCATCCGAACGTGAGAATAAGAACCCTGCAGTACGGACAAGAAATGAAGAATCAAATAGACATGAACCGATGCCCAAAAGATGCATCAAGACTATCTGAGACATGATTAATGAATAAGTCACTAACTTTTAGGATTTCTACAACCTTCATACATATATAATTCAACCAGATTAAATTTTAGACAACTGGAATCTATAGAGGGATAAATAAAGTGGATTATTCCACAGAGAAGGGAAGGTAATGAGGATGAGAGGTTTTATCTGTAACTACTATCTTTTAAGAGAGACAATTTGATTCCAAAGAGAAGATAACCAGCAGCTTGCATGTATCAGCAGTGCCATGGAAACTTTAAAATTTCTACTACTACATTTCAAGAGCAAATATGTAGGTCTAAAGTGTCATGTCCCATTATAGCAACAAACATCGGTTGCTTAAAAATATAAAATACTTTTTCCCGGTAATGGTACCATGAACTACGGGTGATTCACCAGTCCACAACTGAGAATTATGTGTTGTCATAATAAAGAAGATGATACATGCATTGTTGCGGTGGTATATGTGAATTTTCTAGAACCTGAACATACATTGGTTTTACAACAAAACAAAAGCTTATATTGGATAGAATCTCAAGCAAAGCAGAAAAAGCTCAAATAATCTAGAAAAACTAATATTTGAACTTTTTTCCTTTTTGTTTACAGTCCTCAACAGCTTAGAACTGCATGGCACAAACTGTCGAACACAGGTGTGGCTTGCAAACACATCTTTCAGGTAGACCAACACATAACTATAATCCCTAGCACGTCAAAAGCAATATCAATCTAGAGTACAACCCAGTTATATAGTTTTTCTCTCGGATCAAGAAAATCAAATATTCAGCCTTGGTCAATATGAATGTTCTCTATTACTGTATGACACGTAAGGTAATTAAGTGGTGATCATCTTGAAACATTGTACATTTGTACTCAACCATTCGTTTTTTGATAACCAATATACTTGAAAACATTACAGTTGGCAAACTGGAGTGTTGTGTTAGGCTATTAGCTATATTTTACCAGCCGCAGTTTCTTTCTGGCATTTGTACAAGCATGTTGGTTGTTTATAATATGTTGTGTTTGCTATTTTCCATCATATGGAGTGCTCTTTTTTAGCATTTCTAGAAGCATGTTGGTTGTTTAAAAATGAAGTTTCAAATACAATGGTTTGAAATGCTAATATCACGTTAAAAGTGTACTCAAAAAGCATATAATAGCTCCTTCTGTCACCAATGTTCTGTTCTTCATCCCATTTTTGTTAGACATAAAGTTACAAAAATCCAAGTAATACGCAGTTAAATAACACAAATACTTACCTCCCGGGGAAAAGAATCCCATATCTAACTACAACTCCCAAACACCACAATGGGAATAAATACACGTTCCAGTTCCAAGGCTCTGGCGGATTTGACTTAAAACATCGTGTGAAAGAGTCCTGCTCATGCACGAAGGAATTTTGGTTAGATTATATAACAAACAACATTTTATAACCAAAATGAGGACGATGATGATCAACGTGCAAAAGAAGTCACAAGCCTAAACCACTTATTTATCCTTATAACATTGCATGAATAAATATCACATGATTCATAATCGCATATCCATGTGTTGTCCCAATTTCATTTGATGATAAATTTTGTGGCGATTCTTGCCAATGAATGTTCTTTCGAACTTTTACTCCCCTAAACTCTGTCTTGCATTATTCTTTAATTCTTTTATTGTTATATAAATATGAATATCAGATAAGCATAATTACATTATGATTACAACCTTCATTGCTGGGGACACAGGCATTCCAATATGTCCGAGCCAACTTAAATAAAAACATATATACATGAGAACCTAACATAACCACTAGTATCATCATGAGAATGTCTAACAACAGAAACTGGCATAGCAACTACAAACATCACAAACTAGAACCTCTGCAAACTGAAATGTAAAGGAGTTTTTGCTGTATGTTCCTAAGTGAAAACTACTAGTTGTTCTTATTGTTATAGATTTGAGTCTCGCAATATCTTCCTGTAATATTCCTAGCTGTCTTTGAACACTTCGAATTGACATGCCCCAAAAATTAGTAAATAACAAGATGTAGACAAAGTGATCATTTGCAAAGGTAATAAAATTCCGAACAAAGATGAACTGTTGGAATGTCAGCTCCTATTTTATGCATATATGGAGCATGCTACTATTGAAGTTATTAGAACCTCAAACTTGGAACCTCAAAAATAAAATTGCCACCAATTAGCAAAAAGGGAACTACTAGAAATCGCTTCTTTATGAAATGAAGTATCATCCTCAGTCCTAAAAATAGGATCCCATTGAGGGGGGGAGAATAATTACCTACATCATTTTTGAGATAATGAAGTTCAAATCATAAATGACTACTTCTAGTGTCTGATTCTAATTTCTGAAATATAATTGAAATTACCAAAATAAAAAATAGACAATTAAAAAATCCCATTTCTAATCCATGATCATAACATAATAAATATGCAATCACATACATGCCTATGTAAAGAACCATGATACAGTCTTCCTAATAAACAAAAGATCCAAACATGTAATCAATTAGCTTCCACAGGGCGGAAAGTATATATCATGTAAAAGAACTCAACTTATTACACTATTTACCGATTATAACAGAAATAAAAATAACCAATTCACACAGCATTCAGTGAAATTCATAACAACCATGAAAAAAAAAGGTTTAAATTAGAAAGAAGAAGCGAAAAAACAACACTTACATCAACAATGGCACCAGCCGCCTCCGTTAAGGTCGGCGAGATGTCCAGCAAATCGCGCCTGCACAAAATTTAGGGTCAATCGATCACTGTTTCAAAATAACAACAAACGGATTGCCAGAAACACATGTAGATTGATAATAGGATTGGAAGATTACAATCGAAGCTTTGCATGAGGTTCTTGGATTGAATCAGTCGGGAGGTAATCTTCGATATTGGGACGATCTAGGTCCAACTCGGAGCTCGACGAGGTTAGCTTGCTCATCTTCTTGGCGATACGAGAAAGGGGGATTTTTGATTGTTTGACCAATGGAATCCATAGGACTACAATTAAAGCACATTTGGGCTAGGTTTTGAGTCAATCCCATTCGACCAAACTAATGAAAATATATTTGGGGTGGTTGGGATGTATTTATGTTTTTCTATTAAAAATATTTATCAACTTCCTCAAAAAAAATTATTATCGGTATAAGTTATCTATAGTATATTATAAAGCATTTAACAAAAAAATTTAAAAACCATTTTTATGCGTAAAGTACTGTTTATTAATGCATATTATTTAAAACTCAAGATTGCAAGTAGATTGTCCATATCTGAATTTCGTGTAACTAACTGCAGATAAACATAATCAAATACATGATAAATATCTATTTTAAATATAAAAAATCTAAAATATAATTAGGATATTCATTGAGTTCTAACAAAATATTTAATTATTATTTTTATAAAATATTATATTATTAAACCAAAAATAAATTATTTTGTTATTAAACNATTATTTTGTTATTAAACTTAAATTAAATTGTAATAGAAAAATAAATTAAAAAAATACATAAAAATGAGAACTGATTTGATATTAATATTGATATATTTTTTTCAAAATTTTATTTTATTCAAAAATAAATTCATTATTACTTTCTTAAAAACACATAAAATCGTATTATAACATCGACAAAGACAAATAATAAGATAGAACATTAAAATCGAGATGTGTCTCGCTGTATTACATGAGTACTCTTCTAGTTTATTCAAATACTCAAAAGTATTTATTAATGGTGTCAAACCGAAATAAGTCAATAAGTTGTTTTTATAAGCAATCTCAAACACCCCCTTAAACTAGGTTGAGTTAACGTGGGACAAGACTATTTTCGTAAGACACGTGAGATACAATTTTTATACTTGGAAACTTCATAACAAAATGTTGTGAAGGTAAACAAACCGAACCTTCACAGCAAAAAACAATCTGAATGTTACCTTTATAGTGTTTTGTTGTGAAGTTTCAAGTGTAAAAATCATGTCTCACGTGTCTCAAGAAAACAGTCCTTTCTCACATGATCTCAAGTCTATCTAGACTTCATATAGTGTTTAGTACCGCATAATTTATTTGGTTGGTTTTTTATTAATTTTTATATGGATAAAATCATTTGTATGGATTAATTTGTCTGTATATATTTGAGAAGGTTTTGTTTGGAAGTAGGGGTGTAAACAAGTTGAGTAGTAGTAGGTTAATCGAGCTCGTTTTTTGAAAAATTAATACTGGGCTCTAGCTCGATTAACCTTTGCAATATAGGGCTTTTTGAGTTTATTGAGTTCGATGCTCGTTTATGGGTTTGAACTGGGCGATTGATCATCGTTTATCGACTTAAGCTCGATAATTTTTATACTTTTATTGTATGGTTAATAAATATATGAACATGTTTGCCTCGAAAAAAATGTATGCTCGAATGGTTCGCCTTAGCTCGACTCGACTCGAAAAACTGAATCGAATTTTTGAACGAAGCCAGTCGAACATTAGTGTTATAAAGCTCGACTTGTTAAGTTAAATGAGTTCTATTTTGCATTCGAGATCGACTCTAACTTCAGAATTATTAAGTTTGAGTTCGAGATAAACGAGTTCAAGCTCGAGTAACTCGTTAAAAGTTCAAATCGTTTAGACCTCTATTTGGGAAGGTTTTTTTATAGATATAGGAAGCATTTTAATAATTGGGAAGTGTAGGTTCGGAAAACAACTCGGCTTTCTACATAAAATTTTATTCTAGAAGCTTATTAAATAAGTCACTTATATATCATCAAGTTATTACCAAACAGTCATGTATAATTGTCTGAATAATAAGTTGTAAGCTTCCTTAAGTTTGTTAAGATGCTAATAAAGAGGTAGGTTTTGAGTCAATCCCATTTGACCAAAATCGTCTTTTAAATTTCAAGTTTACAGGTAATTATATATATATATATATATATAATTTTTTTTAAATGTTTAAGTTTTATAAAACTGATAGATGATCAAGTGATAAACATGTTCATATACAATATAATCATCGAGATATACTGATATGACATAATATTTTTCGTTCCTATGGTTTGTTAAAAATTATGATTTCCATCCCCGTGATTTAGAAATTAAGGTTTTATTCTCTGTGATTTGTAATTCATTGTTATTTTTGTTTTTGTGATTTACAATTTATTGTTGTTTTGGTCTCTGTGGCTTATAATTCTTTACCGTTTTGGTCCTTATGGTTTATAATTCTTTATTGTTTTGGTCCCTTGTAAGGTAGTAGTCAGTCCGGGGACAAAAATAGCAATAAATTGAAAACCATAGAGACGAAAATCACAATTTCTAAACCACATGAAGCGAAGATATATTATTAACAAACAACAAGAACGAAAATCGTAATTTACCCTTATATTTATCAGTAAAGTCCTTTTTGGATTTAGTCTTAGAAAACGCATTAAGTACATTAGTTGCTTTTATTTTGTGATTCACATAAAATAAAGGTCGTACTGGTTATACCTCAAATATTGGCTTGTTAAATACATCATTTACCCCTCACATGAGGGACAAATTCGTCTTTTGACCTATTTCTTTTTTCTTACAAATTACAAATATTAAAATAAATTTATATATATATATATATATATATATATATATATATATATATATATATATATATATATATATATACCCTTTTCCCGACAACGAAACCAACCCCCTCCCCAACAAACAGAACCCCTTTTTGCTAACTTTCGCACCTCTTTCCTATATATCCTCCTATAACGATGATCATGGAGACCCCCTCCCTAATCGTTCATGCTCATATTTCGCAGGTTAATGACATGTAATCGTCCTTTTGCATCTTGTCGTTGTGCATCAACACCATTTGTAATCATCCCTATGCAATGAATCAAACGAACACACCATCAACACCTTGCATAACATCATTGCCTTTTAGGGTTTTCAATCGACACTTCTATATTTGTTTCACTTGATGGCAGATGATTTAGGGTTTCTTCATCTGGGTTTATTTATTCTACATCTGCACAAATTTAGGGTTTTGATTTTAGTTCAAGTTTGATAATAAAAAAAAAAGTTTGTATCATAATTTCTGTTAATGAACTTATACATCTGACTATTGCACGAGGAGCACATAGAGGGACAACGTTTAAGTGTTTGAATTCTTTTAACTAACTACATACAAACATAAGAGAATAAATGACAAACATCTTATTTTTAGTATAAAAAATCTAAAATATAACAGAATATCAAATTATTATCTTTATAAAATATTATATTAAACAAAAAATAAATTACATCGTTAATAAACTTAAATTAAATTATAAATAAAAAATTGAATTAAAGAAATTAAAAAAAACTAGAATTTTAAATAGTTAATTTGATTTTAATATCAATATATTTTTTCAAAATTTTATAATATCTTTAAATATATATTTTATTTAAAATTAAAAACATTATTGTTTTCTTAAAACCATATAAAATCGTATTATAAATCGATAAAGATTAACACGCGAATAAAACCAAATATTAGAATCAAAATGTATCTCGTTGCATTGTGCGAGTATTCTTCTAGTGTGTGTGTATATATATGTGTATATATATATATGTGTGTGTGTGTGTATATATATATGTGTGTATATATATATACACTTGGGATCATGTGAGACCGGTATGTTTTCGTGAGACTCATAAGACCAATTTTTTACACTTGAAACTTCACAGTAAAAAGCCTATGAAGGTAACCTTCACAAGCTTTTTGCTGTAAATGTTCGGGGGTTTTACCTTCACAATGTTTTATTGTGAAGTTTCAAGTGTAAAAAAGTAGTTTCATGGGTCTCATAAAAAAAGGGCTGGTTTTCACTTGAACTCAACCCCCTCTCTCTCTCTCTATATATATATATATATGTGTGTACGTATAGGTTGTTTTCGTGGGAATCTGTTGTTGATGATGAAATGATCCCATCCCATCCAACTAAGAACAGGAATAGTTTGGATCGAATTGCACAAAGAATGATGGTTGAACATGACCCCCGGATACCCTAACTAGCTACCCTACCTATATATATATATATATATAACCTATACATACATATATATATATGTATATATTGTATTATTGTAGCTAACAATTAATTAATTAATGAGCAGGATGTTTGTCCAATAGGTATTCATGCAATGGCAAAGTACATATACATAGTGTTTTTTGGAACCCTAGCTACCTACTGGACACATATACATGACTCACAAAATCTAATAAAGTTTGCATGCAAGACCAAAGAATTATAGCATGGTTTTTGTCCATTTCATGCAACCTCACTACATTTACCATTTACCATTTACCATTTACCATTTACCTCAATCAATCATTCAGTCTCTACATGTTTTTTACACAGTGTATATATATATATAATATAGAGAGAGAGAGAGAACCAGATGCCAAGTACTTGTATACACACTGACTACTAATCGTCCATGGTTTACGGATCCTCTTCTAAAACTGGTCTGGACCACTGCCACACATCCATGTGAAACTCATGGTTTGAATCTCATCCCAAATTACATATAACTTCATGTGTATATCATTCGGGTGAACGGTTACCAAGGTGTTACTCAGTTTTTGAATTTGTTACGATTTTCTCTTGAATCTGACCATAAATATTTATATATAGAGAGAGAAGGGTTCAAACGAGAACACATTTATTTTACGAGAACGTGAGAACACCATTTTACCACAAACAATCACATATGATATTATTATTCGATTGCATATGATACACATGTGATACTAAATCAGAGACGTGGATGACTTCTGACGCGATCTAGGTTGTAGGCCAACTTGCCCTTACACCACTAAGCCCCTTTACATGTATTATCACATGTGATAAATGTGTTATTTATTTAATATTGTAATTTATCAAGATCATCACATATGATACTAAATCATAGACGCAGACGAGCTTTGGTGCGACCTAAGTCGCAAGGCACGATATCCATACACCACCAAGTCCCCTGTATTATCACATG